CTGTGGGTGGTGCCACCCCTGGGCAGGTGGGCCTGTGTTGCATAAGAAAGAAGGCTGAGCAGGGGCCAGGGAACAAGCCAGTAAGCAGTGTTCCTCCATGACCTGTGCCCCAGCTCTTGCCTCCAGGTTCCTGCCCTGAGTTCCTACCCTGGGCTCCTTGATGAACTGTGACCCGGTAGATATAAGATAAATTAACCCTTTCCTCCCCAAGTTGGTACTGGTCAGAGTGTTTTGTCACAGCAATAGAGAACAAACTAAGTCAGCAAATGACCACAGAAAGAACTTAACGGAAGAAAAGTTTAGAATATGCCTGGTTTGGAGCTGCTGAGATGGAGTGGTCTCAGAGGCTGTCACTCACTTCAAGGAGGAGTCCCCAACACCAATGCAGCCCCGCAGGCTCAGCTTCCTGAGGAACCCTCCGCATCGCTTGGAGATGTTTTCCACCACTCGACCCTTAAATAGAAAAGGTGCAAAAATGGTCACTTTTTCATGTAGCTTAGTTCACAACAGAATAACCTGAAATTTAAAGGTGGAATGCATTTTTCCAAGTGTGGCAGGTGAGGCTGTAGAGTGCTTCTCCAAAACCTCAGCTCTACCCAGAAGCACAAAGGGTGGAAGTGCTCAGGGCTATTTTCTACAAGCAGTGAGAATTCTTTTAGCACTCACACTGCCTTTCTGAGCCTTAGCCCTGGGCATGGGCCTTCCATCCCCAGCACTCACAGGATGCTACTGCAGCTCAGCTGTGGGAGATTAAAATAATGCTGCTTAAGAAAGAAAGTCCTTGGTTGATCTCTGTGAGTTTGAGGCCAGCATGAGGAACCTAGTGAGTTCCAGGACAGCTGGGGCTACAGGGAGACCCTGTCTCAGAAAGACAAAAGAAAAAAAAAAAAGAAAGAAAGAAAAAAGAAAGTCTTGCATGTGGATTTCTGTGAAACTGAGGCCAACCTGGTCTACACAGTGAGTTCCAAGCCAGCTGAGGCTACAGGGAGATACTGTCTCAAAAAAAAAAAAAAAGCAGGTCCATCATTAGCTAAACATTGCTAGTCAAAGTTCGAAATGTGCAGGAGTAGCTACCATCAATTCGCTTTGAAAAGGGAAATTTGCAGACAGGATACAGGAAGGGAAAGACAGTGGACCCTGACAAAGCACTTTCATTTTTTAATATTTTATTTATTATTTTTAGTTTATGTGTATGAGTGTATTGCCTGCATTTGTATAACTGCACCTGTGTTGCGTAATGCCCATGGAGGTCAGAAGAAGGCATCAGATTTTCCTGGAACTGGAGCTATGGACAGTTGTTAGCTGTCATGTGGGTGCTGGGAATCAAACCCAGGTCCTCTGTAAGAGCAGTCAGTGTTCTTAACTGCTAAGCCATCTCTCCAGTCCCATTTTTTCAAGCAATAATTGTATCACTTTCTTGTACTTACCTATTATGGCACAAAACCTATGGGCAAATCCTATGGGCAAGATGGCTCAGCAGGTAAAGGCACTTGCAGTCAACCCTGACCACCTGAGTTTGATTCCCAAGACCAATATTCTGGAAGGAATCAACACCTACAAGTTGTCCTCTGACTTCCGCATGTGTGCTGGGACATACACACCACACACACACACACACACACACACACACGAGGAAATATTAAGATGGCCCCATGGGATGTTGCATGTATGAAAGGCTGAGGCAGGAAGACTTGGAGCTCAAGAACAACCTGGGCTACAAAGGGAGACTCAGCTCAAAACCCCAAAAAGGGGGCCAGAGAGATGGCTCAGCAGTTAGGAACACTTGCTGCTCTTGCAGAGGACCTAAGTTTGGTTCCTAGTACCCACAGCAGGCAGCTCACAACAGTCTGTAACTTCAGGTTCAGGGGATCCAACAACTTTTCTGGCCTCCATGGGCATCCACACATGCATGTACCTCTCTGCCTCTGCCTCTGAGTGCTGGGACTAAAGGCATGCACCACCACGCCTGGCCTACGTTTCAACTATCTTGCAAATCAGTGTTGATACTGGGAGAATTCATTATGTTTTCTTGAGGGCCATCTGAGCTAGTAATTTTTGTCTTTTTGAGTCAGGGTCTCCCTGTAGCCCCAGCTGTCCTATGTAGACCAGGCTGGCCTTGAACCCACAGAGATCCACCAGCCTCTGCCTCCAAAGTGCTGGGACTACAGGTGTGTGCCACCCACGCCCGGCAATAATTTTTAAAATTTTATTTTTTTAGTCTTTTTGAGACAAGGTCTCCCTGTGGCCCCAGCTGGCCTATGAACTCACTATGTAGACCAGGCTGGCATTGATCTCACAGAGATCCACCTGCCTCTGCCTCCTAAGTGCTGGGATTAGAGGTATGTGGGCTGGCATTGATCTCACAGAAATCCACCTGCCTCTGCCTCCTGAGTGCTGGGACTAAAGGCGTGTGTCATCATGCCCAGTTTATTTTTATTCATGTATATGTGTTTGTGTCTGTGCATGTGAGTGCAGGCACCCAAGAAGGCCAGAAGAGGAAATTAGATCCCCCGGTACTGGAGTTACAGGCAGTTGTGACCCACCCAACATGGGTGCTGGAAACCAAACACTGGTCCTTTGTAAAGAACAGTAAACACTCAGGGGCTAGAGAGATGGCTCAGCATTTGAGCACTGACTACTTTTGCAGAGGACCTGGGTTCAAGTCCCAGAACCTACATGGCAGCTAATAACCATCTGTAACTCCAGTTCCAGGGGATTCAGCACCCTCTTCTGACCTCCATGGGCACTGCATGACACAGGTGCACTCACATACATACAGGCGCAACACTCATAAAATAAAAATAATAAAATATTTTTTAAAAAGAGCAGTAAACACTCTTAACTGCTGAGCCATAATTTTAAGCAAAATCCAAGACAACCATAAAATAAATCTTTGCCCCCAGAGGGAAAAAAAGAATAGGCCTTGGAAATCTAAGTGCTTACAACCTCACAAACAACAGGGCCCCACAACAAAGTGTACAAATGGAACACCCAATGTGTTTTTCTCCATTTCAAGGTAGCAACATGTATACAGACTCTGTATTCATCTTTTCAATGGAGCACAAGTTCTTGTACCAGAATGAAAAAGTTATATACACAATGATAATTATGCTCTACTGTTTCTAACTAGCAGGTGGGAAAATGGCAAGTCCTTTCCAAATTCAATATTCAAGCCAATAACTCTGTTACCTGCTAGACAGCACACTGTAGGCATATATTTTAGAATGATGGGCTATGGGGAGAAAAGGGCCCAAATGGGCTTAAAAGTCCCTTGAAGTTATGACTTTTTACACTACTTGGTTAGTTATTTTTTTGCCTAGTAGCATCTTAAATAACTAAGAAGATTGATGATACATGTCTAATTTCTTTTTTTAATTTAAAAATTACATTGATGGGGCTGGAGAGATGATTCAGTGGTTAAGAGCACTGTCTGTTCTTGCAGAGGACCCTGGTCCCAGCACCCACATGGACGCTAACAATCATCCTTAACTTCAGTTCCAGGTGCTCCAGTGCCCTCTTCCAGCCTCGAGAGGCCTTGCACAACACAGGTGCATTTATATACATGCTGGCAAAATACTCATAGACATAAAAAAAAAAAAAAAAAAAGCCTGGGCCTGCATGACCAGCAGGCCTCTCTCTTGCGCCCTGTGCGCCTTGACTCCCCCAGCCTCATTCATCCTCCCATCTCCCGCACCCATCTCTCCTAGTCTGGGTCCTGACCCATTCCTTCTCTTGGTGCGCCAGACGCCTGGGGAACCACCATTGCTTCCTGATCTTTTGTATCCAGACCAACCCAGCTCCTCAGTGCAGTCCCCAGGAGCCCTTGGGGCCACTTCCACCCCCACCCCCATCTGCCTTTGCATCTCTGGGTGGCCTGGCCACCAGCTTCCCTAGACCACCATCTTTCCTGGGCCCAGCACCCAGGCCAGTCCAACCCCCAAACTCCTGAGGCCAAAATCTTTCCTGGAGGGATCCAGGCCTTAGGAGAAAGTCTGAGAACATCTGATCCTCATCTGACTTGGGCCTCTGTGGGAACTCCTGAA